AGAGGCTGACACAAAACCAAAATAAATTCCAGACTAAGGGTTTAAAGTGAAGATGAAATTATAAATGTTCTAGAAAAAATTCAGAGAAATATTTATGTAATTTTGAACTGAAAAGACCTTTCTAAACCACAGAGGAAAAGAACTGATATAGAATTGATTACTTAAAATGCCAATACAGGGCTGAGGCAGTAGCTCAGTGGCAGAGCACTTGCCTAGCATGTGTGAGGCACTGAGTTTGATCCTTAGCACCATATAAAAATAAAACAAATAAAATAAAAGCATTATGTCCATCTACTACTACAATTTTTTTAAAATGCCAATACATCTGTGCATCAAACTAAAATACACAGGAAGGTATAAAACTCACAGGTAAGAGTAAATATGCAAAAAATTTCAGAATATATATATATATAATATGTAAACCATTCATATCTTTAATATTAAGAAACAATTAAAAATAATAGCTACCTTAATATATGTTAAGAGATAGGCAACATAGAAAAATATATAATGGAAAATCAAATTTTCAAAATTTGGGGAGGAATGAAACACAACTGTAGAGTTTTTTTATTAACATATTTTCTGCTTTTGTTTCTGTTCTTATCTTTATGATTATGTTAAACAAATATTATTTCAGAATAGCTTGTTATGATCAAAAGATGGGTTTTTAAGCCTCATGGTAAGCATAAAGCAAAAATCTATAATAGACAAACTAAAAATAATAAGCAAGGAATCAAAACATAGTACTAGAGTGATTCACTTAAGCACAAAGGAAGACTATAAGAGGAGGAGACTAAAGGAACTACACAAAATTAGAAAATAAATTACATAATGGCTGAAATTAAGACCTTATCTATCAACAATCGCATCAAATTTAAATGGATTGAATTCTCCAATGAAAAGACACAGTGACTGAACAGAGTTAAAAAAAAAAAAAAGCAAGACCCACCTATATGTTGCTTACAAGAAACTCACTTCACCCCTAAGGAAACATATAGAATGAAAGTAAAAAGTAAGGAATAAAATATTCCATGCAAAATGGAATCAAAAAGAGAGTATAAGTGCCCATTCTTCCTTCAAATAAAATAGACTTTAAATGAAAAACAGTAAAAAGAGACTAGAGGCTATTATATAATGATTGATAAAAAAAAATTCTAAATATATATGCACCCAAATATTGGAACACACAATATACAAGATAATATTAGTAAACTTAAAGTGAAAGAGAGACTTCAATACAAAAATGGTTGAGGAGCCGGGCACAGTGGTACATGCCTGTAACTCCAGCTGCTCTGGAGACTGATACAGGAGGGTTGTGAGTTCAAAGCCAGCCTCAGCAACTGAGAGGCACTAAACAACTCATTGAGTCCCTGTCTCTAAATAAAATACAAAATAGGGCTGGCAATGTGGCTCAGTGGCAGTGGTTAAGTACCCCTGGGTTAAACCCCCAATATGAAAACAAAAAAAGAAGAAAAAATGAAGGAAAGAAGAAAGATCTCAAACTTATCATTATACCTAGGGGCTGTGGCTGTGGCTCAGTAGTACCACACTTTCCTGGTGTATGTGAGGCACTGGGTTTGATTCTCAGCACCGCATATAAATAAATAAAATAAAGGTCTATCAACAACTAAAAAAATATATTAAAAAAATTTATCATTGCACCTCAAGGAACTTGAAAAACAAGAGCAAACCAAACCCATAATTAAAACAAATAAATGAATTCAGCAAAGTTGTACAATACAAAATCAACATATAAAATATGAGACGTTGGAATAGGCAAGTATTTTTTTGGTCAAGATCTCAAAGCACAGAAAATGAAAGCATTAAAAAACAGGCAAATGGGATTACATCAAATTAAAAAGCTTCTATACATCAAAGGAAACAATGAACAGTGAAGAGATAACCAACAGAATGGACAAAATATTTGCAAACGATAAATCTGACAAGAGGTTAATATTAAAAATATACAAGGAGCTTTAAAACTCAATAAGAAAAAAACATTAAAAATGGACAATAGATCTAAATAGACATTTCTCAAAGACATACAAATGACTAACAGGTGCATGACAAAATGTTCAACATCAGTAATTATAAGGGAAATGCAAATCAAAACCATAATGAGACATCACTTCACTCTAGTAAGAATGGTTATTATTAAAAAAATTAAAGATAACAAGTGTTGGTGATGAAGGGAAGAAAAAGAATCCTTGCACACTATTGGAAGGAATGTAAATTAGTACAGCTACTATGAAAAACTGTATGGGGATTCCTCCAAAAACTAAAAATAGAAAATAAAATAAAATCCCATTCCTGCATATATATCCAAAAGAAATGAAATCAGCATTTCAAAGAGCAGTCTAAATTCCCATGTTTATTACAGCACTATTAACAATAGCCAAGAAATGGAAAGTTAAGTGTCCACCAAGAGATAAATGAATAAAGAAAATGCAGTACATATACACCATGGAATATAATTCGCCCACAGAAAGAATGAAACCTGCCAGGTACAGTGGTGCACACCTATAATCCCAGAAGCACAGGAGGCTGAGGCAGGAAGATCACAAGTCCAAAGCCAGCCTCAGCAACGTAGGGAGGCCCTAAGCAACTCAGCAAGACCATTTCTCAAAATAAAAAATAAATAAATAAAAATTAAAAAGGCTGGGGGTATAGCTCAATGGTTAAATGTCCCTGGGTTCAATCCCTGGTAACTCCTGAAAAAATTTTAAAAAGAAAGAAACAAACAAATAAACCTGTCATTTGTGACATAGCCAGGCACAGAAAGACAAGTTCCACATGATCTCACTCATATGTGAAATCTAAAAATTTTGATCTCATAAAAGATGATTAGAATGGTAGTTATTAGGGGCTGGGGTTGTGGCTCAGTGGTAGAGTGCTTGCTTAGCACATGTGAGGCACTGGATTCCATTCTCAGCACCACATGAAAATAAATAAAATAAAGGTATTGTGTCCATCTATAACTAAAAAATAATTTTAAAAAGAAAGGCCAGGGAAGGTAGGAGTAGGGCACGGATGCAGAATGTTAATCAATAGGTACTGGATGATGGGAGCAAGAGGTTCTAGTGTGCTATTGCACACTAGGGTGATCCTAAAATAACAAAAAATAATGTACTGTACCATTTAAAAAATATAAGAAAGGCAAAATTTTGAGTGTTGAGTGTAGAGCAGAGGGAGATGAAGTTTGGGTTTTCCCTCAGAGTTACACAATCAGAAGAATTTATCAAAATGACTATATTTAGTTATTACTGCATTTATTCTGTTTGCAGACCAGAAATGGTTGGATGACTAATAAAGACAAGTGTTATCCATCATGTACAACCGCAAGAATAGGATCCTAATTAGAATAAGTAATACTCCATTTATGTATAATATGTCAAAATATACTTTCAAGGTTTTCACCAGAAAGAAATGATATCTATTTGAGGAGATAAACATGCTTAGCTTGGTTTAAAAATTATGCAGTGTACACATGTATCAAAATCTAACATGGTACTCCATTAATATAGATAATTTTAATTTTTATCAGTTAAAATAAACTTTAGAAAAGATATGAACCATTGATAAATACAACAACTGTGATGGATCTCAATGAATTATGGTAAATGGGAAAAATAAATCCCAAAAAGGGTATTAGTACATGATCCCACCTATATACCATTTGTGAAATGATAAAATCATGGAGAGAAAAATTAGATGTCAATGACAGGAAAGTGAAGGAAGGGAAATTGCTGTGGCTATTAAAAAAGTAGCATGAGAGATTCTTCTGGTCTTGACTATAGAAACAATTACAAAGTTCACGCATATGATAAAATAGACTAAAATATATAGCATTATATATTGGCATCACTTGTGGAGCTTTAAAAAAAGATGTGTGCCTGGACTACATCTCCATAATTCTGATTAAGTCGATGATGAAACCTGATGCACCCCAAGTGTACCCCTAGTTGATAACTACTGCTTAAAGAAGGGGAATAATATATGCCTATAGATGTTAACAATGTGTGAGATTGTGGGATCACAGGTAATTTTAATTTCTTATTTGCTATAATAAATATGCATTTTGTGCAAAAATAATAGAAAAGGCCTCTTTAAATTTCAAAATCCAATGGCAGTTCACTAGAAATTTCTAACTTGGTAATGATCAGAAACTTTGGAGTTCTATTTTATGTACTTAAGATCTATTCAATTTCTACTCTTAAACTAATTTACTAGTAATGACCATAAGAGGAGAGACATTTCCATGCTTTGTTGATGTCGAAATATACTGTATCTACCACATTTCCCTTGTTTGCCACACCAAAGCGAGCCCAAATCACTTTTCTGGCACTTAATCAAGCTTAGAAAACTCTACTACTTTTTCTTCTCAATTATATAGTAAAACTGTGCTCAGCATACACAGACTATGCCTTATATTTCCTTGCAAATTCTATAGCAATTCATTCCATACATTTGACAAATATTTATTGACTCCCTACTATGTGCCAGGTAGTATTCTGGACTCTCCTTCCTTAGTATAAAATAATAAAGTATCCATAGTGGAATTTCTTCAATCCCTCAACAGACATCTGCCTATCATGTCTGTTGCCATATTGTCCTCCCTATCACCCATTCCACTCAAACTTGGAAGACTTTGTCAATGACCCCAAATTCAAATCACTAAATACACTTTTATAAGACTTTGAAAATGATAGAACCAACATAATTATCACTGTCTCTTCTAAAAAGTCTCTCCTTACAATAGGTTCTCACAGTATTTTATTTATAACATACTTAGAGTACTTGGTATATTCTACTTTGTATTATACTTATGTGTCTGCATATTTTATCTTGCCCCCTAAATCATAAGCTCCTTTAGAGCAGGAATTATAGTTTCTTCAGCTCTGGGGATCCAGTAAAATTTTACCATGTTTTGGCTGGTACTGTGGAATGAATAACCAAAGAAAGAGACAGAAGCTCCTTAAGGCAGCAGTTTTCAGGCTTACCTGTACCTCCACCAACCAGTCGACAAGAATGGCCCTCATATCACTGTTGATGTCAGTCTGTTTGTCCATGTATTTAATAAGTATGAAGTTTTCCTAGTATCAATGAGAAAGAAATGTTATAAACTCTCATTTTAGTTCCAAATTATAACTCAATTAACTTCTCTCTCACCAATTCTAACTCATTATTTTCGACTGGTATCAGATAGGGGCAGCTCAAAATAATTTTTTTCCAGACAAGTTCCAGTTATGCTTGGAAAATGGACACTTATTAAAGTGTTAGAAAAAGTATTGAGGAATCCAGGATGAATAAGGACTATTATTCCACCTGTGGCTATAGATGAATGCCAAAAAGAGTCTGTCCTCTTTTTCAAGCCAGTCTAAATCATAATAACATGCTATGTAGAACAGTATGTCTCAAAATTTTATATATGCACTACTTGGGGATCTGGGAGAACTTCAGATTCTGATTTAGAAGGTCTAGGGTGGGGCTAAGTTTCTGCATTTATAACAAGATTCCAAGTGAAACTGATACTTCTGAGCCAAGGTTCACATGTTTAGAAAAGCAAAATTGTCTCTTACTTTCCCTAAGGTATAGATAGTTCCTGACTAACAGTGGTTAACTTAATAAATTTCAACTTGATGATGGTCACCAGGGGAAATAATCTATACTCCATAGAGATCTGTATGTCTCAGCTAGGATGCTTCAACTCATGATGGGGTTTATCTGGATATAACCCCCCTCAAGATTCAAGGAATATGAGATATATTAGAAAAAGAATGGACTCTGAAGTCAGATAATCAATTGTTCTCTACCTATAGAGAAGAGAAGATATTCACCTACTAAAAATTCTAGGTGGTTAATAATCTTGATCTTATCTAGTCCCTTGTGAGAGACAGAAGAAATTTGGAATTGATAAATATTAGTAGTAAAGGAGACTAGCAGATTTCAAAAGAAAAAGAAAACTGCACCAGATTAGAGAGCTACAAAAAGCTGTGATCTAAACAAACAAACAAAAAAGTTGTATTCTTAAATTCAATGCCAGAAACATGCACAGAAAAAGGAGATTTCCAAAAGCAAATATCCAGAAATAAACTACTTGATCAATTTTGTGTCAGAATATCTCCTTCATACCTAGAACAGCATGATTATGGTCTTCAAGGTAATCAGACTTTAGTCCCTGTCCCAGCTCTACCACAGGCTAATAGTAAGACTCTGGGCAGTTTCCTCTAAATGTAAAAGGGTGATAGTAATACCAACTGTCATGAAATTAATGGGAGAATTCAACAAGATAATGTCTATAAATCTCTAAACACAGTTTCCAACTCATAGTAAGCTACCAATAGATACTAGTTGCTATTATTGTTGTTTTCATCATTATTATTCCCTTCCCTGTCAACTTGTAGGCTGAAGGAGGAAATGAGGACTAGAAATCATTGCCCACCCCCAGATACCTACATACCTCTCTATTTTTCAAGTAACTGAAGATATCCTTGGCATATATTGAATTGAAACATGGATCGCTGTGGTCCTTGTCAATATCTTCTGGTATGGTCATCTATTTAGAAATCACCAAAAGGATATATTGGAAGAAGAAAAGAAAGTCCAAGAAAATCTTAGCTCATACACATCAAGGATGACTCCTTTCTCCCCACTGACTTTTTATGCTAAGTTCCTCAAGCCTCATGTATCCTGGGCTATAACAGAGAGCCTCTTGGCCCTCTAGTACTCATACTGTCCAGTGATCCAGAAATGCCTAATATACGAATATCATGCCCTAGGAACAAGGTATCCTTTTTACAAGAATACTCAATTCTCTAATAAAGGCATCTTATTTTATTATTTTATCTATATCACCTGCCTTCTTAAGTTCCTTTTATGGCCAATTATTCTTAGTAGCCTTTCCCTTCCTTCTACATATTTTCCCAGAATGTTTTGCCCCTATGAGGGTTATTTCTCCTACTGGATGCTAAATCTCATCACTTCATTCTTCTAATTTACAACATGGAGACCACCTTCCTTGGGATATGTCCCTGTGAATTCTGCTCATATTTGACTAAAGTCCACTGTAATGCTGATTAAAATTACTAAGAAAGGTAATTTCGTGAATGAAATTGGCTAAACACTATTGCAAAGTCCAAATATATAGGACAATATTCCAGATGCTTTTGGATTTAAATACTTTCTGATTGCCTAGGTCTATCACTATGACAATCAGAAAGTCAAGATATTCTACAAGGGCTGTGGTGGCACATGCCTGTAATCCCAGTAGCTTGGAGACTGAGGCAGGAGAATTATGAGTTCAAATCCAGCCTCAACAATTTAGTGAGGTCCTGAGCAACTTGTTGAGACCCTGTCTTAAATTTAATATTATATATATATATATATATATATATATATATATATAAAGGGCTGGGAATATGGCTCAATTGTTAAGTGCCCCTGTGTTCAATCCCTGGTACAAAACAAAATATTCTAGCTACAAGGCCAGCAACAAAAGAAAAATGTCAAAGAACCTAGTAACTTCAAGCTAAGAAAAATAAGGTGATTCTGCATCACCTATCATTAAATAAAACTAGAAGTGAACTCCCAAAATACCCCCCTCTCCCAAAGTAGAAGGTGTTCCTATAAATTACTACATACAGTTCAATTCCTTAGGAAAGCAAATAAGAAGAAACCTCTTTGGGGCTATGGGTATAGCTCCTTGCAGAACACATTCTTTGCATATGCAAGGCTCTGTTTCAATCTCCCCAGCAGCAAATTCAACAAAAATCTCTTTTCTAGGAGCTACAAAAATACAGAGAACATATCATCAAGTTTAAGAAGAAAGATAAATACCTCCTTTTCTATGCTCTCGCTCTGAGATGAAAAAGGTCCTTTGGAATCAGGTTCACATTCACTGGACTGGCTGGTGGTACTGTACTGTGCATTGCACATGTTGGCAGCACTGGATTTGTCTGTACTGGTTTCAAGGGTAGTGCTGGATACACGTGGGTCGTTCTTAATATCAAAGGTCAAGAATGTTTTGGAAAAAGTGTCTTCCTTGTGAGTAGGATTTTCTTCCAAAGCCAAAGGATCTTTAAAGGAGAACTCCTTCCCAGTGATGGGTTTCTCGTCCAAGTCTAATATCTCCTTGAAAAGGAATATCTCCTTTGTGGTAGTTTTCTCCTGCATGGCTAATGGCTCCTTCTCCACATTGGACTTCTCCTGAATGACTAATGGCTTTTCAGGTATGGTCACCTTCTGAACGTTGAGCTTCTCCTGCAAGGCCCAGAGCTCTTTCAGGGTAGCCTCCATCTCAGCACTGGGATTCTCCTGTGAGGCCAATGGTTCCATGAAGAGGCCTCCCCCACCAACTGTGGGTTTCTGTTGCTCCTCGATGCTGGGTTTCTCATGGAAAGCCAAATCTTCCTTGAAGTGAGCTCCTGTGTCCATGGTATACTGCTTCTTAATGGTGGAATTCCTCGGCAAGATCAATGGCTTCTTGAGTACAGTCTCCTTCTCAATGCTGGGATTCTCCTGTATGACCAAGGGCTCCTCCAAGAGGATCTCTTTCTCTATGTTCAGAAACTCCTGCAAGATCACTGGCTGATTAATAACGAACTTCTCATCACTAGTAATGTTCTCATGCAAAGCCAACTGCTCCTGAGCATCAAGCTTCATTAAAGATAATTGCCCCTCTATGCTTGGTGCTTCCTCAGTGGAGGGCTCTTTCTCCAAATTGGAGAGCTTATTGAAAAGGGACTTCTCTTCACTGATGCTTTTTTCCTGCAAAGCCAACAGCTTCTCTGGGGAGTCTTCTTTGGTACTAGTCTTCTCTTGCAAGACCAAAGCTTTCTGAAAAAGGGACTCATCTTCATTGGTAGGCTTAAAATGCAAAGAATGTGGCTCCTGAAAGAGGAATTTCTTCTCAGTGATAAGCTTCTCCTTCAAAGTTGCTGGATCCTTACTATCTGATTTTTCTTCAGTGGTGATCTCTTGAAAGAATGATGGTTGCGTTAAGAGGGACACCTCCTGCTGGTTGGTATGCTTCTTTTTCAGTGAAGATGGCTCCTGGGAGAACTTCTCTTCAGTTGTAGGCTTCTTCTTTAAAGGCAATAGCTTCTTATAGAGTGATGAATTTTCAGATGTGGTCTTCTGCAAGACCATTGGATTCTTTACCAGGAACACCTTCCCATAAGTGGTTTCCTTCTTTTTTAAAGACACTGGTATCTTAGAAAGGACTGTCTCTTCATTTGTAGGCTTCTTCCTAAGTGACACTGGCTTCACATAGATGGAATTATTTTCTTTATCAATTATATCCTGCCAGTCTGACAGTTCTTTCCAGAAGGGCACTGAGTAAGTAGTACCCTTTTTTTTCTCTAAAGACACATTTTCTTCTTTAAAGGACAATGGCTCCTTAACCAGAGACTTCTCTTCAGAAGTAACCATTTGCAATACTAGTGGCTTCTTCATGTGGGACACTGTCCCTTGAGTGCTGGGCTGCTGCTTCTTTAAAGACAAAGGATTTTTGGAAAGGGTTGCTTTCTCAATGGTATGTTCCTTTGGAAAACCCACAGTTTCCTCAAGAAGTGATTCCTCCCTAGTGGGAGACTTTTGGGGAGTCAACGGCTCCTTAGTGAGTGATTTCCTCCCCAAGGTTACTGTCTGAGGCTTCAAGCAGGAGATCACCCCCTGAGTATTAAACTTCTTATTCAAAGGTGATGGCTTCTTTGTGTATGTTGTCTGCTTAATAATATGCTTCTTCTTATAAGAAACTAGCTCCATAAAAGATTTATCTTCATGGTTCCTATCCTCCTGCAATGCCCGTGGCTTCTTCAAGAATCCCACCACCTCTTGAGTCATGTGCTTCTCCTGCAACGTAGATGACTCCCAGGAGAGAGACTCCTGTTCAGTGGTAGACATCTTTCTAAAGGGTGATGGATTTGTGATGAGTGACTTCTCTCCAGAGGTGACCTTCTGCAGTACTAATGGTTTCTTCAAATATGATATCTTCCCTTGAGTAATGCATTTCCTGTTTGAAAAAGTCTCCTCAGTGGTAGGCTTCTCCTTAAAAGCTAATGACTCCTTGAAGAAGGACTCTTCTTCCAAGTCTATCTTCTCCCACAAGGTCAATGATGTCTTCGAGATGGCCACCTCTCGTTCGTTGGCAGGCTTTTCTTGCAGTGCAGATGGCTTCCAAAAAACGGACACCTTCTCAGAAGCAGACTTTCTCTTAAAGGACAGTGGTTCCTTAGAGAGTGACTCCTCTTCAGAGGTGACCTTCTGCAAAACTAGTGGCTTCATCACATTGGAGATCCTCCCGTTTGTGGCGTGCTGCTGCTTCTTTAGGGTTAATTGCTTCTTAGTGGGAGATGATTTCTCAGTTTTAGGTTTCTTCCGAAAACTTATTGGCTCCATATCAAAAACTTTGTCATCATCATTGTTATCCTGGGAAGTCCACAACTCCTCCCAACAAGACTTCTTCCCCTGATGTGTGCATGTCTTCTTCTTTAAGGATAATGTCTTCTCACTGATGGCAGTCTCTTCAACTTTATGCTTCTTCCCCAAAGTCACTGTCTCTATAACAAATTCATCATCACTGTCAGTCTGCTCCTGCAAGGATAGTGACTGCTTTAATAGAGACATGTCCTCATGATTTCTGCACTTCTTCAATGACATCTTGTTGATGTTTGTCTCCTCAGTAGTTGTTTCCTCTTTTAAAACTAATGATTTATTGATGAGTGATGCCTCTTCGGTAGCTGGTGTTTTGAAGTTGGTGGATATGTCTACAATGAGCGTTTTCTCCATTATATTTGGCACTGGGGTGGTAGAAGCTGTTACTGGTGAGATTTCCAACTTATACCTGCAAAGCAAACAATGTCTGAGTAAGAAGAATATAGTTCTTGCAGTCCTCACCTACCATCTCATTTTGTTGCTACATGAATTAAGGTCTGGAAGAAGAAAGGGCTTCAATCCCGAGAGACAAAGTAGAGGGTAAAAAATAATGGGAACCATATTAAATCAAGTAAGCAGCATACTATATAGTTTCTATGCCTAGGTCCCTACACTTTTTTACAATTTCCCCCTGAAATCCATTTTATGCTCTCTCTCATATGATTTATTACTTTTATTTTATACAACGACTTTTGTTATAATACTTATCACATTGTATGAGTTATCTGCTTACGTATCAGTCTTCCTCACCAGCTGCAATTATTTGTCTTTGTCTATTAGCACCAAACATCTGGTAAAACACAGGCTCAAATTAATATTGTTTGGAGGCTAATGAGAGAGGCAGGGTTGTAATTAATTTTGGTGGGATCTAATCACATTCCCTTCACCTTGGGTTATTCAAAAGACACTTTCCCAATGAAAGTAATAAAAAGAGACCAAAATAGAAATTTGTCACATGTGTCAGTGCAAAGCTTTGTTCTGAATAGCATTTTATGACCAATTAGAGTGCCTAACCTAGTGTGACAAAATCTCTGGAAGACTAGAAATCAGAATAAAAAAGAGTGATAATTAAAGGTAAATAAAATCTCTGAACAGGGGGAATACATGCCTCTAAAGATTAGATATCATTTAACTCCACTTATATGAAATATTCAGAATAAATACATCCATAAAGATATATCAATAACAGAAAGTAGATTAATGGTTACTGAGGCTGGGATCAGGAGGAGTTGGAGAGGGGGACTGGAAAAGGAAAGGGACTCCTAGTAGGGTTGGGGTATTTTTGATGGTTATAAAGTACAAAATCAGATAGTGGTAATAGCTATAGAATTCCAGAAATGAGGGATCCAACATGGCGGCCGGCGAGGAAGCAGCGATTCCAATATCTCCACATTAACGGGATCAGAAAGACCCATTAAAACAGCTACAGTCTACCTACTGAGGAACTTCTAGCAAAATTCCATTAAAAGGAGACCTGCCGGGAATTATGAACTGGGAACTAAAACCAGAGATTGTGTCAGACCAGAGACAAGCCAGTTCCACCCCTCCCTTCGGACACTCCGGCAAGGAGCCAGGGGCCTGCCATAGCAGAGAGGGGAAGTCACCAAAGTTCGGCCAAAGAGATTCCTTCCCAGC